TGTAAATTAAAATCACAACATGCTTTCATGACATTGTTATGCCATATAGCGCAAAAGCTCACCGCAAAAGCCTTCCAGTGTCTTACAGCCAAGCTTGGCTGTGAGCTTCCACTCATCAGATAAGTCATGCTGTCCTCTTGACTCCTCAGTGGAAAGATCCCCCGTGTCTCTTTGCAAGCTCAGATATATCAAAACAGTCCTTTGCGCTTTATTCATAATCAGAGCACCCCTTGCTGATTGTTGTTCCCTCTGGTCGCCCTCGCTTGTTCACCTTGCAACCTTTTAATTAGCAGCTGGCTCTGCCCCAGATAGGCTTACATTGTGAGACACACAATTGTACAATACACACTTGATCAGACAAAGAGTGAGAAGCATTTCCTATCCCCGGTCAGACCAGAATCTGTCCAAGGCTGGTCACCTTGTGGTGACCTGCTTTTAACTTCAAAGCTTTAAGAACATCATTTCCAGTACAGATAGATAATTTCTTAATTATTACCTGTACATACATTGTGCAATGTTTATGATGAGAAGGGTAATACAGGCTTTCAGTAAAGACTTTACATGACACCCTTTGGCAAATTAGTATGAAGATATCAGACCCAGGGGATCCCAGTAACCCTTATGCACCCCTGTGCCCTCTGCCGGTTGACACCAAGACGCACATCACCTGTGTCACCCATACCTCCACAGTCCAGTGTGCCCCTGCCAAGACAACCTACTGAGATTTGCTTATGGCATGAATTGCTACCAGTAACAAACAGTGCCATTCAGTCTCCCATCGGCCCCAGGGCATTTACGAAGATGCTGGTGATATTCAATATCCAGATCCCAGGGAATTCATCTATTCCTCTTTCTGGAAGGCATCTAAATCAGACTCCTACCCAGACCACCGCACACAGTGCCATGATCCAGGCTCTGAATCTCCTGCAAGAGCACAGATTCACAACAAACACCTGTGGACATTGCCCGGGACTGTCTACCATCTCAGGAAGTCAATGACTTGGTCTGGGACCAGTACCGATCTTGCATCCATGCCAGACCATGGTCCCATACTTTCAGCAGACAGACCTGAGGCATCTGATCTGTGATCTCATCCATGGAGTGATCCCTCAGCACGAGAACAGGAGACCCAGTAGCTGAAGGCACTGAACTGTTGTTGGGCTCCTGCTCTTGACTAGCATGGATATCAAGTCCTGAATCTTGTGGAATCTGTCGAATGATAGGTAGATCTGCACTGCTGACATGTCTATCGCCGCACCCAGATGAATAATTGAAGGAATCATAAAATGTTTCTTGGTGTTTGTCATGAATCTGTGTGTCTGTAGGAGATTCAGAGCCAAGCACGACAGTACTCCAGGTGTCAGCCCTCATTATTGTGCTGTTTGCAGGATCCTTGGGCTCCCTGGGTGAGAACTCTCAGGTACCCAGGTCCCTCAGAGCAGTCAGATCAATTTTCCCTAAGTGGGACCTACTACTGGTGTTGAAAGCCCCAATCCCTTTGAACCTCTGACATTTGTATCACCATTTTACCTCTCCATCAAAACCTGTTTTCTGGTCACCATCATGTCCACAGCCTTATCCATGCAGGAACCTTACTGTATGTTCAATGATGTCAAGGTGGTGCAGAAATGTTCCTGCCTAAAGTAAACTCTCCTTTTCATGCCTCACAGCAGATTGTCCTCCCTTCAGGCTGTCCAAAGTCACAGCGACTCAATGGGAAGATATGGCACACCTTGGCTGTCAGATAAGTACCAAAGGTTTATATCAACTGTTCAGAATCCACAAAGAGATCAGGCTCTCTGTTCATTTCCTTTCACCCAAGGAGTCAAGGACTTAGAGTACGTTAGCCAGATGGATCGGACTATGTATTGTTGAGGCATTCAAGGCATCCAGAAGGAATCAAGGTCCATGCCACAAGATCTATGGCAACATTGTGGCTGAAAGAGCATGTTGTTTCACTGCAGAAAACTGCAGAGCAGTGACATGGATATTGGCTAACACCTTTATTAGACTCTGTCTTCTGTCTTTCACGGAGGCCTCCTACGGCAGGAGGGTGCTGTATGTGGTGGTTCAGTAATAACCTCGCTGTTACTAATAATCTTGCAATTAATTATTGTTTTACACTGCTCTGGAATGAATCTACTGGCAGTAGGCTGGCAAAGGGAGCATGGCGAGAGCAAGCTATTCTATAGCTTTGAATTGCCTCCAGAAGCTGCAGACAGGAGGGGAATAGCCCATATGTAGGATGATTGTGGAAGACACTGCTAGAAGAATGGAAATGATTGGGTAAGAAAATTTCCATTCTTGTTAATATTACCATGCGCACTGTTACAAACCAAAGTAAGCATATTAGACCTTGTAACCCAGACTAGCTACAACCAAAGTTATTTTTCATTCACATTGTAATTACAATGTACTTACCACACGGACTTTGGAGGTAGGGACATGCATAAAAACCCCTGCCTTGTTACTCTCCGAAACCAAACATGAATACAATATTTAAAGGCAAGTCAGTATTTGGAACCTACTGTGTTTGATAAATTAGAGTACCTGAGTACCTGCATCAGTACTTGGAAAACAGTAATGTTATGGATTATCCCTGTATGTTGTAATCCATTCCTGACTTTCCTATGCATTGGTGCCTGTTCTCAATTCTGGATGTGCTTTTACTGGGAAAAATTGCAATTTCTGGAATCAAGAAAAGTTGCCATCCAATTTCACAGATACTCTTTGCATGAAAGACCCAAATATTAAGTGTTCCTACGATAATCTAAAATGATTTCCATATTTATCAAATTCCTAGTGCAAAATAATTATAACACTCATGAAATAACCTCCTTCTGTACAATCTGTTAATTTATTACTTCTACATTGCTAAAAATAAAATTAGAATTCCCTTAGGCCATTGTTACAATTTTATAGACAGCGCAGTTAACATGGGATGAATATTGGGATCTGAAACCAAAATGTCTCCTACTGTGATATAAACAGTATTTCAAGGATTTTGGGCTACAAGATAGAGCCTTTCATGCCTTGCAAATTGAGTTCACATTAACTTCCAGCACTTTTCTTTAGAGGTTTTATTTCCGATTGCTGAAGGATGTGCATGAAGCTTTGCCTAGATTTTGTTACTATTCACTCTGCACTGAAATGTCACAAATGATTACTAAATTATTGACATTGCATCGAGGAAGAGGAAAATGCTTTGTAAATAGCCAAATAAAGCACTTAGTGCAGACATAGAAGCTCTTATGCATATCTGACATCCTTCTTGTCTTTAGGATGTTTTCAGATACTTGCAGACAGAATATAAAGCAGTTCAAGTAGGAACTTGACCTTTGTTCATGTCTCTAAAAAGCAGTAGATGCAGTGTCTGAATTAGATAGCAAGTTCCTTGTGAGATTGACTATGTAATCTTGGATGTTCGTATAACACTGAGCACATTGGTAGCACTCAATCAATACATAGTAAGCGTTCGCTGTTGCAGTATTATTTCCCTATTATCCTCCCACTTAGCTCAAGAGAATATAAAATGTGTTGTGCATGTCTGTATAAATATACAGTCCCAGATCCTCCACCAAGGCCAAGGAGTGCATGGCATAACTCAGGGAATGGAGGGCAAAGGTGTCTGCCCACCGGTTTGGTCCCCAGGGGTAAGTTAGAGTATTCTGAGGGCAGTTCTAAATTAAACCAGCTTCCAATAGTCCCAAAAGGCTGTGGCAGCAACCAGGGATCACTAGGGCACATGGAAGTCCCAGTGATGGTCATAGGAAGTGGGGACTGGAGTACAAGTAGTTGAATTAAAGTCCTTGCCTTGAACTCCCACAAGTCAGCCCTTGCCCCTGGTTCTACCTCCCTCTTGGGTAGTGTCAAGGGGGAAGACTCACAGCCAGACCCCCCCTCAGTAGAGGTTTCTTCTTCTGCTGTTGCAAAACGGTGCTTCTTCAGGAAATGGCTTCCCTCTTGTCTCCCTCCTGCCTGGGGCTACTGGAGCTTCTTTTATATCGGACCTTTCCCTAGGAGCAGTCTGGCCAGTAGAATCATAGAACCATAGGATTAGAAGGGACTGCAAGGGTCATCTAGTCTAACCCTCAGCCAAGATGCCTGAGGGGCAGAGCCTTCCAGGCCCAGTACTGCTCCAGCCCTTCCCTTGGCCTTAGTGTAGGATCTGAAAACCCTATCCAAGGCACCAATACAATATAGCTCAGCTGTGCTCTGAAAAGGTATCGCACCCAGAAATTACATGGGATATGAATTTTAGGCCTGGTCTACACTGGGGGAGAGGGATCGATCTAAGTTACGCAACTTCAGGGTAGCTGAAGTCGACGTACTTAGACCTACTCACTGCGGTGAGTCGACTGCTGCCGCTCCCCCGTTGACTCTGCCTGCATCTCTCGCGGCGGTGGAGTATAGGAGTCAACAGGAGAGTGCTGGGCGGGGGGGGGGGGGTCGATTTATCGCGCCTAGACTAGACGCGATAAATCAACCCCCGCTGGATCGATCGTTGCCTGCTGATCCAGCGGGTGGTGTAGACATACCCGTAGAAAGTCAATGTGCAATGATATAAGTGCATTAAAATTTATAAAAAGGGATATAATTGGCTTTATATATTTACAGCAGCAAATTAATCAGCATGATCAATTCACAAATGAGTTTGTTACATTTATTATAATAATAGTTATCTCTGTGGTTGGGCAAACAAAGCTGGCCAAATAACAAGCATGTCATGTTTTACTCTTGAATTGCTTTTTCACTATATGGCAACAAAGAATTACCTTGACCAATTGCACCCCTAAATAGTGATTCTGGTATTCTTTAAATGAGATTATTAGACTGATTTACGTTGGAAAGACAGGAGCATGCATAGCACACTAGGAGGTGTGTTGAGATTACATGAATTCACACTGTATGACTTTCTGCAGTTACTCTGTGCAGATGCATACCCAAATAACACTGCTTTAAATGCGCTATGTTCATGAATTTCCACAAAGTTAAATGTATAGTAGTTTTAGTAAATAGAATTTATTGCCTTTTCATTTCAAGATTTTGCATTTAGCTATTTTTGAAAGAAAAATACAAAAAGCAACGTATCAATACAAAGTTATCTGCTCTGTCAATAGCCCTAGAAATAGAATCAAGTGGACTGAAATTACATTATTTCAGACTAATCTTTTTAAAAATATTTTCTTCTTCTTTCCTGACTCAGTCAGAAGATGCTTCACTCAGAAAACACTAAGTTAAATCTAAAGTTTGGCAAACTATGCAGAACTTCACCACACTACATGGCTGTATTCATGTAGTTGAGTGAGTGTGATTTTATCACTCCTAATTTTCCAGCAGATTAACATGCAGCATTTATATATATAAAATGGAAAGTGGAATGATGATATGGGAGATGAAGCACCATCCAATTGAAAGTGTACAAGAACTAGAAAATCTACAAGCTGTGGCTAATCCCAACACGCATCAAAACATGTGCATACCGCAGTGGTGTTAGGCAGCCATGCTGCATTGTCAATCCTTGCAGCACTTCTGGGAATGAAGTCAAAATGCAAGCCAATCAGTGGTTGTGACATGACAGTGTCATTCCTGGATGTACTGCCTTTGGGCATGGGACTTACCGGGAGCACATCAAACACACAGTGACACACACCACTGTTCAGAATGGAGTCACAGCACACCACTTGTATCTAAATGCGTCCACATTTTTTCAGACTATTTTGAAAGTTCATCTAATTTAACTTCTTTTCAGTTGGCCTCATTAACAAGTGTATGCAGTATGGAATCAAGGCAACTACAGTAAGAGGTATGGCTGCACTTTTACAAAAAGAAAGAACATAAAACAAATACTCGGTATGTGTGGGTAACTTGATAAAATCAAACAGCTGCAAGGTAACTAAAGAAGCAGCTATGCACAGTAGTCTGAAACTCGTCTTATATCCATTTGTACCTTTACAGCTCATGATGAACATTTCGGAATTAATACCAAGACCTAACCCAAAGAGTGCACCTAAATTTCTCACCAGTCCAGCAAATGGAGTTGTGTCAATGTTTATCCAGTCTGGATTGGCACACCATTTCTTTGCCTTTGGAACGGACCATAGAAGATCAACATCAATAAGTTTGAGAAGCAGGTAAAAGCCAAGAGCAAAGATGAAGAGAAACAAATTTGTCTTGATGTACGTTCTCAAACTCGCTGTCTGGATAGCAGGGGTATGTTCAAATGCTTCAGCAACAAGCATTCCTGTGAATTAAAAGTGCAATATTAGGCTGGGCATTGTGCTCTTGGATATTGAAAAAGAAATTGCTTTCCAGGGCCTACCTCTAAAAAAGCAGAATTAAACCTCTTAAAGAAAAAGAATATGTATGGTTTTTCCACTTTTATAGTACACCCAAAAACCTCATTCTTCTCCAAAACTGCCAAGTCAAAATAATGGGTCTACCGCATTACTTTAAATGCCAAGAGCCACAGATTCAGAAGAGACATGTAGTTTTTCACTAATAAACCCTGCATTAGCACACCCAGACAGGCCAGTCTCTCTCTCTCTCTCCTTTTTCATACTCTTCAAATGCTACCCCATGGGTAGAGAGGGATGCAGATTGCAACTCCCTACTCTCACAGGGGTGAATTAAGCCTATCTATGTTCTTAGTCCTTCCCTCTTTCTGAATGCTGGAGGGGGAGATGTTTTTCATCTCTCTCCCTTTCCTCATTCACACCCTTCTTGGCTATGAAGAGGAACGGAGATGGACAACAGTAGCTTCAAACCGCTGGCTCTGCGCTAAACATGCTGATTTGCACATGAAAAGTAGCATAGGGAGTGCCCCTGGAATTAATGTGCCAATCATTCTGAGATCAGACGGTGACTAAGGGAAGCATTTTCAAAAGTGCCTAAATCCAATTTTTACAACTGAGCTGGGGCTTAGGAGCCTAGGCCTCATAGGAAATCAACGGGACTCAGGCTTCCAGGTGCCTATGTTCCTTTAGAAAAACGGGGACTAGACTCCTAAAACACTTTTGTGCTTTTGAAAATGTTACCCAAAGGCTGTATTATACTAAGATTGTAGGATCCTGGGGGCAGGGGCCGTCTTTTTGTTCTGTGTTTGTACAGCATCTAGCACAATGGGCTCCTGGTCCATGACTAGGGCTTCTACATACCATAGTAATACAAATACGTAATTAATAATAATAACAATATATTCAAACCCGTAGTCTCCCCAGAAATCACATGCAGCTCTAGAGAGACAGGATAAAAAGCCCTTTAAATAACTGTGACTTGTTTTTAAACTTAAAACAAATGTTCAGATAATGTATTTATGTTGCAAAGAGTAAGAATAAGCAATATTACCACCAATTACTCCAAGAATAACTTGATGTGGGAAATGTGTTGCTATGAATACTCTAGAGACACACACACTGATCTGAATAATCCAAAACACACTCCAGAGGAATGACCAGGTAAGTCTATGAAAGAAAAAGAAATTGTATAAATGAAATTTAAAAAATCCAAAATATTATATTTCATTGTGCGTCATTCAACTGGGTCCCATATTTTTAGCAGCCAGAGGTATAAATTCAACAGTGTAGAGACAGATGATCAAAACCTGGAGCCAGATGCTGAAATAAAACTGTCAGAATACAGGTATGATCTTGCAATCCCATTTACTTTAATGGAATTTTGCCCGATTAAAGACTGCAGGATCAGGCACTAATACTTTAGGATCTAAGATCAGATGCTTTGTTTTCGTTGTAAGATATCAATTGAAAGCTAAAGTGTCAGATGTATTTTTCCATGTGTTTATCATCATGAAGGCATAATTAAACTCATGATCCATGCAGTCGAATAACAATCCTTTCAACCGTGGTAAAAAATCCAACCAGTCATAAGCTTTTACACAGAACTGAGTAACATGCTGTCTGTGCCAATATTATGAGTATTTTCTTTAGAATAAAATATGAATGACCATTCCCAAAGTGGTAAATTTAATGCACTAACCACTAGATCAGACAAAGAAAGGCACTGAATATAAATCAAGATTCCCAACATTATTGACCTGTCCCACTCCCATAGTGTTTAAAGGAGGCAGGTTCAGATCTGTGTTAATGCAATGGCAGTGAGTTAATTAGATGTCACTCTAAAGAAAAATATAAATCTCCTCTATATTCTAATTCAGCGGTTCTCAAACTTCATTGCACCACGACCCCCTTCTGACAACAAAAATTACTATGTGACCCCAAGAGAGGGTACCGAAGCCTGAGCCCACCCAAGCGGGGGGGACAAAGCCCGAGCCCCAAAGCTGAAGCCCTGGGCGAGGGGTCTGTAACCTGAGCCCAGCCGTCTAGGACTGAAGATCTCAGGCTTCAGCTTCGGCCCCGGGTGGTGGGGCGTGGGCCCTGGCGACCCCATTAAAACGGGGTCATGACCCACTTTGGGGTCCCAACCCACAGTTTGAGAACTGCTTTTCTAATTCTTTGTCCAAAACCAGTAAGAATGAAGACATGTTAACAATTTAAAAGTCAAGTGGGCCAAAAATATTTGCTATAATAATGTTTATTTAAACTAAATTTATAAATCCATCAAAATAAAGGTTTCAGAATATCAGAAACTGACTGACCTGTGCAGTGTAATTGCGGATTCATCTTTCCACCTCACTGTGTAGCTAAGTGCTGCTGTTACCATTACATACCAGACACAAGAAGATCCCATGGCGTGGCCAGATGGGCTTCCTGTTAAAAGAAAAAAAGGAATATTTTAACTTAAAAATCATTAATACAAGTTTGGAATATAGAAAAAGAATCATTATCAGTTATTCAAACAATCAATGAACCCAAAACAATAAAAACTAAAAAAACCTACAGGAACCTTATGGTGGATTGTGGCATGTCAGGCACAAATCACAGACATTGATTAGATGGATATTGGGAAGGCAGCCTATCCTTACAATAACCTAAGGGAAGTAATTTTATGTTAGTCTGACAGTTTCTTTAGGATAGAAAGAAAAAGGACTTTGTATTATAGTGCTGATATGAACAGAGCCACAAAGTATACAGAAAGAACAAGGAGTCTTGTGGCACCTTAAAGATTAACACATTTATTAGAGCATAAGCTTTTCGTGGGCTTTTCGTGTTGGTCTTTAAGGTACCACAAGACTCCTCGTTGTTTTTGCTGAAACAGACTAACACGGCTACCCCTCTGAAAAGTATACAGAATACAGCTTAGATGGAAGACAGGTGTATATTGAAATATGGGAGAAACAGGGAATGATCTCCTTGTATCAGTAAATTGTAAAATACACTAGAGCAATTTCAGACTTCAGATAGCCCTTCCAAATTGTCATTTTGTCTATTTCCTCAGTTAGGAAGCCATATTTTCTGTAGATCCTCAAAAGAGGGGGGGGGGGAGAGTCTTTTCTATTATGTTGGAAGAAAGGGGCTTATTTATGTTCAGTTGACACAATACCAAAAGTGTTGAAAAGTGAATGAAAATTGGTATGGAAAAAGATTTCAATAGATCCCGTCTCATGAAATAATGTTATAACATTTTGGAATTAATTAACAGTACTTTATAGTAGTGCAACAAATGGGGGACTCAATATAAACAAACTTCTGCATATTGAATGCTTTATTATGTGCCATGCCATTTACCCAAATTTAACAGAAGCCATTTTCAAGCATACTGAAGGCAGTGTGGAGATGCAGAGGATTTCACCCACATCTCGTGGAGCTGACCAAAGATCTAATCCCAGTGGAATATTGCTAGTGAAGTAATTCATAAAATTACTATGGCAGTTCTCTCTGCACATAGCAGGGGTCAGATTCATGGATTCATCAGATTTACATTTGGTGGAGGGAGGTTATGGCTCCCCAGTTCTCATTGGTCCTCAGCCCTGGTACAGACTTGAGTAGTGCAGAGGCTACTGCCTAAAGGTGTCTCTAGCATGTGTCAGCTCAGAATGCTCCCATTGAGTATAACTGGAGTGCAGTGTGCTCCAGCCACTCCTGCTCCTCACATCACTACCTCTAACACACCCTTCCTCAGTCCTGGCATGCCCTCCCGGCTGGGGGCTGCAGAAATAGCTTAGAGCTGGCTATGCTGGCTCTAACCCCTCTGGGGATTCCATCATGCCACAGGAAAACCCAGATAGGGGAGATGCAGACATGGCAGATAATCTGACTCTGTATGTGTTAAGATGATGCAACGTGGCTTCTTGTGGAGTTAGAAGGGTAGAAAAGTTTGTAGGGCTTATTTTGTAGGAAGTGGAAATAATTTTTTTCACTTGAGAAAATGTTGTGACCAATCCCTACAGAAGTAGTTCACAAAGGTATGGGATATCTTGGTAAGGTAGAAAATTGTATCTAAGAAGGAAAATTACATTGATTTCTGTGCCATCTACACACCTTTTCTGGACTTGGCTAGGAGATTCTTGATCATGATTCCTTCATTCCTTCTTTTTTTCAAAAGGTACTTGCACGGCACTTTCCACATATTAGAATTCATTTTATTGGTTAAACCAACTTATGATTTCATATTTCAGTGTTTGAAAACACTTTGTACTTGCTATTGTCAGTCTTTTCATCTGAAAGTGTTTATCATACCCCATATGCAATGTGTTTATTAGAGATAGGCCTAAAGTCCAAAATTTAGATCCACATTTCGAAACTCTACCAATATTTGTGAGAGGGTTGGATTGGGGGTTTTGGTTCAGCTCACTGGAGCCAGCTGCAAAATTCAGATCTAGATCCAAATTCAAATTCCAGAACCTCTATCCCAAAGTTTGAGATCGTCCAGATACAGGTTTTTAGTTCAAGCTATCTGCAGTCCTTATGTTGTTCACTATTTTATCTACTTTGCTCATTTAAATATTCATGTCAGTGTACATCTGCTGCTCTAGTCTTCTCATTTAAACTACATATTTAAACATTTTAAATAACAAATTTGGAAAAGGCCATACTGAATAAAATAGAAATGGTTTCTTCTTAAACAGGAAGAAACAGGCCTTCTGTTCCAATGAATCATGTGGAAACACACTAATTGGTATGTAAGCAAGGTCTCAATATTGCAAGAGGCTGAGTGCCCTCAGTTGTGAAGTCACTTGAAAGGAGCTGAGGGAGGCTCTTAGCACCTTGGGTTGGGTCCCAAGTGATTTCATGATCAAGTGAGACAGAGAACAACCCTAACAGCTGATAGCAGGTCCGCACATAAAGTAGTAAACAAACTGTCAGTCACAAGAGCTCAAGTCTCTTCTTCAAAATTAGAGTAAAGTATGACGCAGCATCTTGCTAAGAGAAAGGGGAAAAAATGCAGCATTTTTATCCATATGAAAGCCTGTAGAATCACAAAGCACATTAATAACAATTACTGCACATTTCTCATATATTGGGGGGGAAAATCCATTTAGCAAGAGCCATAATTAAAGCTGTATAAACATGTCAAATCCAGTCTAGAGTAGGAATGTCTGAGCTTAATTTGCTTAATTTCAAACATCATGAATTTGAAAGTTCATTTGAGACTTGAGCAATATTGGATTTACATTCCACTTAAGAAAGAAGTAAAAACAGAAGCAGAGAGGGTGCTCAGTGAAACAATCCAATGGAAAATATATCATACATAATATCACCTATATAGTGTATTCTCTTGTGCCAGCCTATAGCTTTGAGGGGAGTGGGGAGTTCTATCCTGAACAGATAATTCAGGCTTTCCTTTAGTTAGAACATAGGTGGCTGTTGTTCATTCTTTTTTTTTTTAAACTAAATAGCTTCGGGGAGGAGGAGGATAGAGGGATTAGGGGTTTAAATATCAGAGCAGTGATCACAAATTTGTTTTACTTTTGTGACCCTAAAAATTGCTGCAGTAGCTCAGAAATCCTCAAACTCCATAAGAGTCACCTGTTCTAATCTGGAGTGCTTTTGAGCAACATTTACTTGAATATATGCTTAGATATCAAAATATTTCACTTGCTCATTTGATATGCTGAAGAGGACAAATCTAGGGTGTCTACTTACCTTCAATAAACCTCTGTGGACCTCTTCTCTGCAAGTTGGTGTCACTTGCAGCAGAACTACCTCCAAGAATGACTTCACAACAAAGGTGATTCAGCATTTCTGGGGCTGTAAAGTAATTATTGGAAGGACGGACAGTCCTCCAGCATTGCTACCTGTAATAACTATCATTTTTAAAGTGATGCCTTTCATAGGTTAAAGACATTGAAACAAAAGTTCTTGCCAATACGCAGACCAGGTAGTCTCAGCTCTTCACACATCTAATGTTTAGGTTCTCTGTTACATTTCTACTGATGTATTTTTATGCTCAGGTGCCTGCATACTGTACTTTATTTTTAGCAGGTATATCAATTTACAGTATAATCATTATCACTGACTGCTACTTGCTGAAGTAATACTTACAATATGTGCAACACTGAAGCCACAAACATTCCTTACCTGGCCCAGTTTCACATGTTATAGGAAATTGTTCAAGACATGGGCTCGATTGATTGGGATAGATCATTGTTTCTTGGACCCACCAATATGGACGATGGCCAAATAAAATCCTAACAAAAAAGAGAACAGTACATAGTATACAAATACAATAAAAAGATCTCTGAGTAGAAAGGTCCAAGCAAAGTAGAAAGGATAATTCACCTTATGCTATACATGAACATTTTTATTGTTAGAATAATCATACAAATGCTCATTTGTGTTCTTCTTCGCTTACCAAAATGTTACCGTAAACACATCCTCATTTTGTTAAACCTGAATTTTGAAACACGTTGTATTTTATATTTAAAAGGCAAAACTACATAGGTAAATCTACAGGTTACAGGAAGTACTGTAATCTTGAGGCAGCTAAAAACCTGCATTACAAAAAATACAAAGTTTTAAAAGAAACACAACTTACCATTTAAATATGAGGTTGAACCAATCTCCAATGACTGCCACCCATATCATTTTAGTACCAACCACTTGGTTAAGTTGGAACCAAAGAGGAAAATAAATTAAAAATATATTCCGGGGATCTCCTACTTGTGACATCAAATTTAGAAAGTCATGGTAAGACCTGTAATCCTTCTGTAAATGCTGAATTATAAGCACACCATTACTATGAAGGAGATCCATCTTTATCGGTTACACTATACTCAAAGGAAAGTTCCCGTAATGTTTAGTTCCTAATGGCAAAATTAGAACCATGAAAGGAGAGCTATTAAAAATGAGAGACAATGACTAACATTGCTTTTATATTGTACCAGAGTGGGGTGTCTGGCCATTCCTGAAACATGTGACTTTCCGCATCTATGAGGAGACACGTGGGTCTGTTAGTGCTGGAAAGGTTTTCTGTTTGCAATTTTTAATTGGAGGAAAAGAGGTGAAGTATATGCTGATCAGCAGCAAATCATGGGGAAAGTTTTGTGGCAACACAATGACTGTCTTATGCAACCCTTTGTATGAACAGTTGGAAAATGTTTGCTTGAATTTTAACACAGTTCATTTCTCTGAAGGATGGACACTAGTAATTTGTATGCTTGATTAAGTGTTGCCCTTATAAAGACTAGAAAGAATTCATGATTAATTGGTCTAAGCAGAAGAGTCATTAAATTTGTGCATTTTAATTTGAAATAGAATGTGGCTATATTGCTGTATTTATTACTTAGCACGGCACATGTTTTAAATTGTGATTAAATCCAATCAGCAGACATAAATTAAAAAAAGAATTTTAAATGACAGGTTGCTTTCTAAAGTGATACTTTTCCCAAAGAGTTGAAAAAATAATTATTTATTTCCTTTACACAAGATACCATGTTAACTGAGGACACATTGAGGATGGATTTTTTTAGTATGAATTAACACAGAATAATGATGGTATTGACTGGAGTGATTCAGAGGATAAAGTAGGGGCTATGCAGTCTACTCTGCCAAAGCAACTCAAGCATAACCTTCTGCATCCTTAAATTCTTTCGCATAGTCTAATATGAATGCAATAAAGGGATAGTAGATCTTAAATAAGTAATATTTTGCAGAAGCTGTTTTTTAATGTTTATATACTTTCTCTGAGGAAACAAAAAGTGGACCTGAACCAAAACTCTAGCTCTGACCTATGTACCTAATGAATAGGCAGAACTAAAGGCCCAATCCAACGCCTACTGAAATCAGTAATAGAAAGACTCTCATTAACTTCAAAGAGCATGGTTTGGCCCCTATGGGTATGCCTATATTGTAATAAAAGACCCACAGCACAGCTGCAACTGACTTGGGGGCTATTAAATTGCAGTTTAGACGTTTGGGCTCAGGCTAGAGCAGCGGTTCTCAAACTGTGGGTCGCGATCCAATTTTAATGTGGTCGCCAGGGCTGGCTTAGACTTGCTAGGGCCCGGGGCTGAAGCCCGAGCCTCGCTGCCCGGGGCCGAAGCCTAAGGGCTTCAGCCCTGGGCAGCAGGGCTCAGGTTACAGGCCCCCTGCCTGGAGCTGAAGCCCTTGGGCTTGGGCTTTGGCCCACCCACCCGGGGCAGCAGGGCTCGGGCAGGCTCAGGCTTAGGTTCCCCCCTCCTGGTGTTGTGTAGTAATTTTTGTTGTCAGAAGGGGGTTGCGGTGCAATGAAGTTTGAGAACCGCTGGGCTAGAGTCCAGGTTCTGAGACTCAGCGCCATGGGTCTTTTTTTAAATCATAGTGTAGACATATCCTAAAACGGCAGATCCCAATATTCCCAAACATGGAGAATAGGGTGGGGTTGAAATCTGGGTCTAAATCAAAGTTCAAGGTGCTTAGATTCAGTCCTTTCTAGAAAGAAGTTCAAGCTGTGAATTCAAATTCAAGTTTATGGTTTGGATATAGGACTTTGGTTCAGTCCCATCTCTAATTTTAAAAAAGAAATGTAGTATCTTTGTTCACCAGAGACACATTTAGGGTATTTAAGACATTTCTTTTAAACATTTCCTAAACTGATTACTAGTTCTTTGAGGTTTTGGGTTATTTTTCAAGTGAATTAGTATTGTTGAAATTGATATCCCTAAAGAACTAAAGAAAGATCCAGCAGGGGCACAGTAGAGCAGCCTTTACCACACTGCCTTGCCACAGTGCCTCAGCCATGCTCTGAGGGACCACTTCTAGAATAAGAGCACATCACATTTCATAGCCACGGAGTTCTTGATCTTTCTGTGTAGACTGCCCGCAGGTGCCAATTAATACCAACTGAGGTGACTAAGGAAGGACTTTTGGGGATCTGGTCCCCTGTCTACTATACAGAAACCACCAACTGATTTACTTTCAGTCATTTACCAGTCCTGGTTGGATTCAGAAGTGAAACTTGACCCATCCAGCCTCCCCTTACCAGCTCTTTTTATGTGCTACCAGTCCCACCTAAGATTGCCCAGCACTTCCCATTATAAGACCCTGTTTTCAATTGCTTATAAATTTGTCAAACCTGAAATTTTCCATGCTGGGTGTCCGCCTCAGGCTGAATTTCCTTTTGGAAAATTTCAGCTAAAATGGTTCCACCATTTCTGAGAACAAGACTAGGGGGAGATACATTGTTTTACCCATATTAAAAAATGCTGGTGACTTTCTGTTTGAAAAGCTCTAGCTACCCCGTGCTTTGAAGCAGGGACTTGAAATTCAGCAGGAGGGGGCCTTGGTGTCAGGGATATTCCTTTTGCCATCTCTGTAAAAATCCAACCAAATTTGGCCAGATTATAAGGCTTTTGAAAAATTGTACTTCACACATGCTCAGTAGAGACTTCTTAGATTCTGTACACACTGAGCATGCTACAGCTCAGGGTGGAGCAGGACTTTACCTGTAATTGCAACTCTGCCCTGCTGCAAACCATGCCAGGTCTGGGCACCAAATAGAGAGCAGGGGACCTGTGTCTCTCCTGATCTTTTCTACTGTACTCTCAATAACCCTCTCCTCCCCCCACTTGGTTCAGGCAACAAAAGAGGAGGAAGCTGCTGCATTCGAATGCAGAAGGAAGACGCAGCAGACCTACTGGGGAGGTGGGGGAAGTAGATTGGGACAAGGAGCCTTGGGGTAGGGGTAAGGCTGGAGCCTGATTGGGTGATGAGGGAAACTGGGACTGGGAGTTTAGATGGTTGGGGGACTGGGACTGGTTGGGCAAGGAGACTGGGAAAATTAGGTGGGCAAAGATTGGATGATGAGCCCAGTAAGGGAGACTGGGACTGGGATCCAGTGGGGACAAAGAATGTGGGATAGGAAGGCATGACCAGAGGCAGGATGTGGGAGAGAACACATCAGAAGAGGAGCCAGGATGGGGAAACTGGGAATAGCTGGGCAAGGAGACTGGTACTGGGATGGGGAGTCTGGAGGATGAGACTAGGACTTGCTTGGCAAGAAGACTGTGACTGGGATGCAAAGCCTGAGAAGTAGAGAGTGGGACTGGCTAGATGAGGAAAATGGGGCAGAAGAAGTCATGCTGGGGGGCGGGGAAGGGGCAGACGATTCTGTGCCCACTAGAGCACACTCCCCTCCAGAGCCTAGAATGAAACTCAAAATTACTGAGTATCACTATTCTTCTTCTGCCAGCAAATATCTGTAAAACCCAAAAGCAAAGTGTCCTATCCTCCTCTACTGCTGGTCCATACAGAGGATAACAACCTACTACTGCTATCAGTTACTCCATTAGCTCAAGCAGCAGAGGTCTATGTGCTGGATCTAAAGGTTCCAACCCTGCTGAAGATCCATCTGGGTGTCAGTATGATGCCACATGATGGAATTTCTGTTTTTTTTCAGTTTGCTTTTTAAAAATGACACATAACAGAACTATTTTAAAAGAACATTATTAAGGTTCAAAGTCAAGCACTCAGAAGTTAGAAAATACCAAAATTAAGGTTGCCTGTGCAACTTTAATTCACCCTCCTTTCATGTATACATTATAATTAGAGATGGTTCAAATTTTTTCCAATTAAATGTTTTTCCATTGCAAAATGCCATTTCATCAAAATCCAAACTTTCCACAGGAACATGCTGATTTTGACATTTTAAAAATAAAATTGAAAAAAACTGAAAAATAGCAAATTGACCTTAATGGAACAAAATATTTTGATTTTTTGTTTTGAAATGACTTTTTATTTAAAATGAATCAGGCTTGTCTAATTATGGTTGTTGTCTGTAGGACCCCTGCTTCATTTGTTGCAGAAGTTGGAAGTTGGGCAGGGAATGAGGCAGGGTATTGCATGAAGGGAAAGGACAGTCTGATGATTGGCAATAGAATGCTGCCCTGGAGGTTGGGATTCTGTCTCTGCCATGGATTGGGTGACCAGATAGCAAGTGTGAAAAATTGGGATGGGGGTTGGGGTGTAATAGGTGCCTATATAAGACAAAGCCCCGAATATCAGGACTATCCCTATACAATCAGGACATCTGGTCACCATAGCCACGTAGTTCCTATGTGATGCTAGTCAAGTTACTTAAAACAAACTTTTCATAGGAGGTCACTAATTTTTGTTCTTCATTTAATGGGTACCTGACTTTAAACCCTTGGCCTGATTTGCAGTAGTGCGGAGCGCTCACAGCTGCAACTGAAGTCAATAGGAGCTGGAGTTTGAATATATAAAGTGCTATACAATACTAAGGACTCCGAAAAATCAGGTCCTAGGCATCTCAAATGGAGTCCAAAAATTAATGGATACTTTTGACCTTAATCTGTCTGTGCCTCAGTTCCCCATCTGTAAAATGGGGATAATAATACCCACTTGAGCTCACAGAAACATTGTGAAGAGAAATTGTTTGTTTGTGAAGCACTCGGCTACTATAGTGATGAGTGCCATAGAAAAGGAGGAAATTAATGAATTAATAATTCTGTGTTCTGAGCTGGTTAGAGGACTGTGCAGTAAAAAGGCCTGGGGCCACACACTGAGCAATGAGGAGAAAACAAAATATTTAATAGATGCTCATTAAGCGAGCACTGTCCATCCTATGCACTGTATGAGTCAGGCACTCTTAGGAAACAATAGTATGTGATCATGTAATTAAAGTCTGCATCATAATGAATAAGCACAAAGGGGCTGAATTAAGGTTGCACAAGCAACCTTAATTCTGGTATTTGCTAAATTTTTAGTGCTTGATTGTGCAGTTTTCATAATGTTCTTTTAACAAAGATTTTGTGTGTGTAATACTTACATATATTTGCAGAGAGAAAATGGTA